GTTAACACTCTTCCCCTCCCCTATTTCCCTCCTTTGATACGATCGAACTGTTGAGCGGAAGCGGGGGGTATAGCACATGGGAAACAGGAAAAACCGATAATTCAACAACTGGGAAAAATTTTTTCCCCAACGACGCAAATTTCTCTCGGAAGACAAATACGACCTCCCGTCTCCCAACAACGAGCGTATACGACCCCCAACTCTTATAGCGTCCTAGAAACAAGAAGAATCAACTATTGAAAATCTCTCAGACCAGTACGACCCCCCCCCCCCCCAACCTCTTACTAGGGAATCCACAACGACGATATGCCGTGTTTGCAAGCATTCTTCCAGTTCGCGAATTTTTCGTGCAAGGTATGAACACGGCCTTACAAAGACATATGGACAAGGTTCTCAGTAAAACAACACAACTAGTAACTTAAGAGGCATTGACTATTCCAGTCAAAGCGTAAGACAATGCTTCATTTAAATAGCTACAAACCCTATCATACCTGTACGTGAAAACAGCTAAACTTGTTACCGCTTGCATATCACAAACCCCTTTCGAAATCTTGGCGCTATCATGCAACACTCTGAATGAAAAGCAAACAAAGTCAATGTAATCTCTTTATTAAAAAAATCCGAGAATAATGAGATGAAATTTCTTCACTGCGAAAACCGTTAACAACTACTTAACAGACTCCCACTTAGAGAGAAAAGCGCACCTGCAATGCACATAGACGTTGGTGGAGCACGCGCTTGGCAGATTACCCGCACCATCGTCCCTCTTTCGTCTCGGCAAGCGCCAGCGGTATGATGTGATTAGAGGACTTTTAATTTATATCATGCCCAAACATATGCAAAAAATGTATCCAAATTTGAAAAGATGAAAATAAGACGTGTGGTACCTGGACGGGCACAACATCACCAAGTATGAAGGATGACGGGGCTCACGGGTTCGGAAAGTAGATCTTACTGCCGTATCTGAGTTCAACAACACACAACAAAAATTGTGAATAAAATCAAGTAGCTGACGACCAAAATCTCAAATTACGTTGAGTGGTCAGAAAGTCTACGTATGGTGACGAACATGTCAACGAAATTCTACGAGTTGCGATAGTCGCAGCGATAATATGAGAACCGTATTATTGCCTGTGATGATGCGGTAACGAAATCGCGGGACGATACATCCTCGCGCGCACCTCATCCATTCACCAAAAGCCATTTAGCGACGATGTCGTCGATCACGGTCGTAACTGTCTCTGTCTCGGCGATCACGGTCATCACGATGACGATGGCGATCACGAGAGCGACTGCGGTGGCGGTCGCGATCTCGGGATCGTGATCTGAAGAACGTAAAAATTACGACTGAGGAAACGTGAACATTCCAAAATCTGAGTTACTGCAGAGATAAGACAGGACAATCGTAACATGCTGCGCTGGTGGGCGTGTCGGGCCATGCCGCGCCCCACAGAAGAGCCGACCTACCTGGTCATTTGAATTCAAATTTTAGAGGCAAGGAGCACGATAAATCCCCACGACATTTAGAATAACACCCCTAGCAGGATAGAATTCGGCTCCCCTGAGCAGGCCCAGCTTGGCGATTTTTTCAAGGAAGGTACCCAGTAGGGTCTTAATAAAATCATATCAATTGGGCTCACCTTCTTGAGCTGCGTCTGTCCCGATCGCGTGATCGATCCCGGTCGCGGGAACGATCTCGTTCACGTGATCGCTTCCTTTCGCGTTCACTAAAATATACTAAAACATTAAAATTTGCTAAGGAATTCAGGAATTGAATAAAATGTCTAAATGAATTGTGATCTCTAGAGTGAAGCAGATATTTCGAAAACTCCTCATGAACAACATTTCAAACCTCTTTTTGCCCAGACAAACTTACCGCTTCTCCCTTTCTTCGCGTGCTTTCTGCCGCTCTTTTTCGTTTTCTTCATCTCTTTTACGAATGCGTTCCTGAAAAACGATGACAACAATCTATGGATTTGTAGGCTCCGGCTCCCCGCCTCAACCAAGTAAATATGAGCACATAGAAGAAAATTGTAGAATTGACATACCCGAAGCTCTTCAATAGTAACCTTTAT